CCCCGTCGTCGCAGCCGTCGGAGAACGGGAAGTAGGAGATTGGGCCGCCGTCGCTGACTTCTTGGTCGGCCGAGGTGAGGTCAGGGAACATTTTCCGGTGGGCGGAGATGGAGGTGGAGATGGTGACGTGGGCCCCGGCTGTCCCGGCGAGGCGGTTGGCGAGGTTGACGGTCGGACTGATGTGGCCTTGGACCCCGTCGTCGCAGCCGTCGGAGAACGGGAAGTAGGAGATTGGGCCGCCGTCGCTGACTTCTTGGTCGGCCGAGGTGAGGTCAGGGAACATTTTCCGGTGGGCGGAGATGGAGGTGGAGATGGTGACGTGGGCCCCGGCTGTCCCGGCGAGGCGGTTGGCGAGGTTGACGGTCGGACTGATGTGGCCTTGGATAGGGTATGTGACTAGAAGGAAGTGGAGTTGATGATCAGCTCTCGCCATTATTAGTTTCTTTCTTTTTTCCCCCTTCCTCTCTAGAGTGTGGTTTGGTGATTGATTGGCTACTACTGTGGTGTTATGGTTTCTTGTTTTGCTTTTTTATAGAGTTGATCGAAGTGAGCACCGAGGGGCGGTCATCCCTACTCAAATCAGCACCACTCTGGCGTTATCCATTTCAACCAAAATCAAACACGTGGCACTTTCTATAGGGGCTGTTTGGTTGGCTTCCTTGAAATAAAAAAAAAAGGAAATTGTATTTGGAAACAATTAAGAATGGTTTTTTCACTCATTTTCTTATAAAAATTTAGGAGATGAGCTTTCTTAAATATGAGTCACATCAGCCAACGAAAATGTGCCGCATAATCTTTTCACTTCGTTTTAATATGTGAATCAAACAAAAGAAATGTAATCATTATAAGAAATATATTTCTTATAATTGATTTCCTTAAAATTTTGGCCAACCAAACAGCCCATAAAATGATAACCATTCCAACTACGTAGTTGGATCCTCTCAGGTTCTAACATAGAGTTCAAGCTTCTTTTTGATAAATCTATATCCGATTCATGATGTCTGAAACTTATATTTAGTATTCTGGTCTAAAACCTTATTTAGTAAACTTTTGTATGCACTACATATATTTTTGGTGGTTTTGCGTTGGTAAACCTAACTACTTGATATGATTATGATAGATATTTTATTTATCAATATATTGATAATTATTGTCTTGATTCATAGATATATATACTTGACAGGTATCTCTAGGTGCTTTAAATATTTCGTTTTGAACTAAACTTTATGTTGCATACTAATTACTTGGTATAGCAAAATATTATAACATTAATCATATAGACATGAGACATTTTATATATTTTGTTATGATAATAGGGAAACCATTTTTGAATCTTTTTTACAGTTTAATAGTAGGTCAAACATAAATTGCAGCTTAGGTTGTATAATTTATGACTACTTATATATTATTTCTATTTTATTTTGCATTCTTTTGCTACATCAATTTTTGTATATTAAATAAATCTGTGCATCGCACGAGCCTGAAGCTAGTTTCCTTATATAAATTTAGGAAATGAGCTTCCTTATGAGTCACATCAACCAATGAAAATGTGCCACATAATCTTTTTACTTCGTTTTAATATGTGAATCAAACAAAAGAAATGTAATCATTATAAGAAATATATTTCTTATAATTGATTTCCTTAAAATTTTGGCCAACCAAACAGCCCATAAAATGATAACCATTCCAACTACGTAGTTGGATACTCTCAGGTTCTAAAAAAGATACTCTCAGGTTCTAAAAGAGATACGTAGAAAAACCACTACACTTATGGTCTGTTCGAACAGAGAAGAGGGTAGGAGGCGAGGGATGATTGATCTAAACCCAAAGAGAAGGAAAGGAGAGGTAGGGAGGATGATGTAACTAATTTTATTTGGATAAAAAACTAGAAAACAGAGAGGTACAAGAGTAATAGAACTAAATTGTGTTTATTTAGAGTAGAAAATAGAAAAGGAAAGGAGC